GTCGTTGTCTTCCATGTCCGAGTTGGCGCCGTTGCTGTCGCCGCTGTTTCCCGGGTCAGCCATTCCATTCGACCTGGTTAATCCATAATTTAAAAATTAAATTTCAATCCTCAGATATTGAATACAGTACCAAAAGAAAATTTGCAATCGAGAGATGACGTGTTATATTCAGAAATATCCAACAAGAAACTCAAATGTCGAACATTAAACCCTACAAGAAACCTCGAAATTCGTTAAAACAATTGGCAACAAACGGGGAACGACAAATCTGCTATATCTTGAGTAAATTGGGTGGAAAAAGTATAATCGGACATAGCATCAAAATTCAAGACAGATGAAGACAAAGAAACTAACATGGAATAATTTTGGATCACATGACCGATTACACATCACATGAAATCAAAATTGGCTTATTTTCAATCTTTCTCGGTGATTGTACAATGCAAGAAATGTTTTTTTTTACAGTATTCATAAAATACTCAACAGAAGACAAGATCCGTTGATGCTGTAACATGATCTTCGATTTCAAAGTCGAGCATAATTTTCTCAACATATTGTATGGTATTCATCAGAATAGAACGAGACGATTTCAGGCCAGTGACAACTGCTCAATTTTATTGAAGGTACACACATCTATTCGAAGATTTATGAAAATTTCCAGGAGGCCTGGGATGGATTCAAGCTAGGGACTTTAATAAAAATTTGTTATTCTATCCGAGGATTCCATGTCACCAGGATGAGGTGAATACAATTTGAGGGACTTATAAAAATCACTTTTTTACTGACCCATCGTGGTCGTGGACATTCCGGGTCGCATACAACAACGCCGCCTGGTGTGACCTCGCAGCAGCAGCCGCCGCCAACATTGGCAACGCTTGCTGGGCATGGAAATCCGCTCCCGAATGTTTCGGGCTACCCGACGTGCTATTATCGTCTGTCGAAGGCGCCGGACTCAACGTCACAGAGCTCGGCGGCGCCAGGAAGTGAGAGCCCAACTGTTGTTCGACCACTGTGGCAGCAGCCGCCGCGGCGGCTGCTGCAGCTGCCGAATGCGGACTCCTCCGATCCCCGACATTGTAGTACGGATGATGATGGTGGTGGTGATGGTGGTTGTTGTTGTTGTTGCCGTTGTGGGTCGGCGGTGGGCTTAGGCCCGGACCGGATAACGGATTCGGTGGCGGCACTGTTGAAGCAGGGGTCGGCGGCTGGAACCGCATTGTTGCAGATGCCGCCAAGAGTAGCTGGAGGGCGTTGTGCAGAATGTCTCCGGCGCCGGGCGCCCTCTGGCAAACGTCTTGCTTCGTCAGCAGACTCAACGCTTTTCCTGGAAATTTGAAGGAAAAAAATGAACTTCGTTTCAATCTATCGATAAACTTTGATATTTTCTCTGAATTTCCCAGGTTTCTGGACTTTTCTTCGTTCAGGAGATATTTTCCAACACTGATCAGATTTCAACATTATTTCTTCACGTTCCCCAAGTCTAACCTTCTACTGATTTTGAAAGAAAGCGTTTTCTTCGAAATCTTGAAATTCTAGAATGCATTTACCTCCCATACTAAATTGTAATTCAGGATTGCATTTTTTCCGATTGAAATCGTGAATCTCTCGAAACGGCTTTAAATCCCGAAAATTGTTTTTCGCTCAAGAACACAATCGACGGACATACAGTAGAATCTCGTTATAAAGAATAATCGGTTACGATGACTTCGTTTTCTAGGGCCATACACAATTGCCAAAATGCTATTTGAATTTTCTTTGTGGAGAAGCTATTTTACTGTTCCCGAAGGATTCATTGTAAAGCGATTTTTGTGAATTTTCAAGCGCTGCGAGCTGGAAGAGATTTACTCACCATTCATGAAGAATTTTTCGAGTTCAATTTTCGGAACGTCGTACTCTTCTTGGAACCAACGCAAGAAAGAAGTCACATCGTCTCTGGACCATGCCCTCGGGTCAACAGCTGCGGAGAAATATTTGATCAGAATTATTTGAGAAAATACTGCGGTGTTACAGCGGTATGTTAAGATATGATTTTACGAGACAAGATTTCATCAACATTACACGGAAATTTGCGCTTTGAGGAAAAAAAATAATCCGTAACATACCCAAGAGGCAGTTCATGTCACTGAGGTCAGCAAAAAAGTCAAGTACTGTAGATGGAAAATTCAAGTCATATCGTAAAAATTTGTATTTTCTCGGGATAAACTTGATGAAAGAAAATTCTTGTCTTGATGAAAGAAAAATTTATTTCAACGCATCTTCACAATTTTCCGCAAAGAGTGATGAGACATCAATAAAAATTCCGGAAAAAAAGGAATATGTAATTTTAATTACTTTGAAACGTAACTGCATGAGAATGTTTCCTGATATAACGTTGAATGTCGGGAGAAATAGTTCTTCGGACGTGATTCTTGATCAAACATATGTCTGGAAAACTTTCTGAAACTAAACGAAAAGGTAATTTCTGCGCAACAAAAAATACTGTATTACTATAAAAGAAAAAATTAAAATGCTTGTCAAGAAAAACATAGGTAAACATTGCTCTGCTGGAAAGGTTAGTAAATGGGCTCAGAAGGTGTAACGAAACCTCAATAATCATGTATCGTAATGCTATAACGGTGGACAAACGTTGAAATTGCGATTTTTCACGCTAAATTCGTTTCTTTTTCAACTTTCAAATCAGTGGAACAATTCCAATACCTGAATATTCCCGAATTCCGTTGATGCTACTCAGAATTTTTTTTTCTTCTTCAAGAATGTCACTTGCTTCGCTGAATTGCATGATCTCATTTGAACAAAAGCTGAACTCTAGATGCGTATGTGAAAATCGTTGGGATTCCAAAAATTATTTTGCGAGCCAACATCTTTCGAATTCATGCATTTATTTTCATTACACATTTCGCTTCATTCATTTATCTTTTGATTATTTATTATGTTCATCACTCACGCAGATGGTGGGGCATTTGAGATCTGAGGTCCAGTAGCAACGGTGTCGTCGGCGTGGTCGGTGTGTGCGGCTGCGCGTGATGCGGCAGAAGCATCGGGTACCTCCAGAAAATGTCTGTGCCGAACGGCAGGCCGCCGTGCAAGCCCTGACCGCCGCCAGTGGCGCCGTTCAGCGTCAACGGGGCCGGCACGGACCCCGGGGGCACCTTCATCTCGCGGCGCTTCCTCGTCACTGTGTCTCCCTTTATTATGACACCTTCCGT